ATTATATAATCAAGGTATTAAAATCAAATAAGGCTTTAATTTCCACGTAACATAGAAAATTGAAAATAAAACGAAAATCCTAGATGAAAAGTAGGAAGGCAGAGGAATGATTAGCAAAATGCTTAAAAAATTATGAGAAAAAATTATGCTTAAAAAATGATTAGCAAGATGCTTATTGGCAAAAAGGTCACACGTGAAAAAATAAGTAAATCCATATCTAGATCTATCCAAATTTTATACAGAAATGCATTATATCTCATATATTAACAATGTGTATAAGTTTAGACGAGGCAGTATGTTCGTCAGCAATCGACATTTGTCTTAATTACAGAGAGTTGAGTTGAGTTTTTTTCCATACTACAATTTCAGCTGAAATATTTTTATATTCAGATCTTAGGTATGAATATTTTTTTCATTATGATACCGCAACACACGCTTCTAAAATTCAAAAATAAAAAATAAAATGTATAAATTACAAAATATTTCATTGAATAGTAATGAAAAAAATAATAAGCGTTGTAAAGTCGGTTCCAATGCATTGAAATTTTTGTATTATCTCTACACTAAATTATTGAATATTTTCAAAAAAGGGTACCGAATTGCTTATAAATACATAATAAAATGTAACTAGTTCAAAATACTATATTAAATAGTAATAAAAAATATATAAAAGTTGTAAAGTCGGTTCCAATTCATTGAAATATTTGTACCAGATATTTCAATGAATTGGAACCGACGCACTTTACGCAAAACGACGCACTTACGACACTTTACGCAAAATTACTGAATATTTACAAAGCGGGATAGAAAATTATTTTAGAATTAGTTTTTATCTGATTGAAGATAGAAGGTATTCAGTGTTTTTTATATTATATAGCTCTTTCAAAATAAATTATTAACTTATCTATCGAAATATTTAAACATACTATTCTTAATTCGAAGCACCTTGAGGTTTCTAATGAATCCCAATTATGTATAAAGACGGACGGGCTTGTAGTCACGTTTTTTTTTGTCGCAAATGCGACCTACAAGAAAAGTTTTCTGTGCTTGGATACCTGAACCGATTGCATAAAAATTGATGATTGAATTATCCTTTAAAAGTGAAAATTAGATAAAAAGAAAAATTGTTTAAAACTATTGAACTACACTCAAGATTTGTGTACATTTGACAATATGGGAACAGAGCTCAATAATTTTGTTTAGGATCTTTGTCAAACTTTTCTTTTTTAAACTGATTGAATTAGTGTGAGCCATTATTAGAGCCATACAGGGGAAAACATTTATACAATACCATGAAAGTAATTTACCTTGCTTACTTATAAATTGAATTATTTTGTTCTTTGACAAAACTTAAAAATGCTTATGCTTCTTGAAATATTTATTTAATTTAATTTATTAGCATGAGGTGGTTTCCGAAAACATGAGGAAATTCAATTTCATTTCCGAACAAAGTAAAGATTTCAAGCTGTAGATTTCTATAGACTATTAAACGACAGGTTGGTGACAAGTCATTCCAGCAATTTTGGGAAAGTTGGTAAAGAAAGCCGAAGAAAAAGAGAAACGTGAATATAGACAATTTTATTTGGCGAATTGTATGAAGGAAACGAATAAAAAAAAACTAACTTGATTAAAAAGCTTTCTATCGTAGTGAACCAAAGAATTTAAATGGATCGAATTTGGAATTCTCGCCAAAAGAAATAAAAAGTGATTTCCTCCATGAAGGTTTCCCACCAGCCGCCAACTTGTCATACCTGAATAATACCAGTAATGATTCCCAAGTTTTCTAAATAAACTTTAGATTAATACCACTTTTATTAATACCAATTTAATTAAACTTTGGATTAATTCCGATTTCACATATATTAGTAAAAACGGCGAAAGAGTTCTTAGTACAGTTTAAAAAAATTTCTAAGGTCTGAGGTTGAGATTTAACGACATACGATATGGTTAATTATCTTAAGCTGTCTCTTTACTTTTATTAAACTACTTTCGTTCTTATTGCAACTCGTTTGTTTCTTGTTTTCTTCCGTCATTTTATGTATCGACAAAGAGAAAGACTATTGTTTATTGGACCGAAACCATAGTAAGTACATTTTTGCTTTATTGTATGTGTTTTATTCAAGTTATTTACATATGCATAATACATAGCAGGGCTCCCAGTTTTCCGCTAAAATAGTTTACAAAATTTATATAAAATGTTTGCCAATTTCCTTTTCGTATTAATAATATTATCTTATAACGTTCCTAGCCATCACAATAATCCGTTTGCTGGTTTATAGATATCTAAGATCTGCTGGATTGAAAGCCTTTAAACTTAAGTGGTAGCGAAATCAGATAAATATTTATTTGCTTTAATGAGTTGTTTACTACCCCTAGAAGCTCTGACTCAGTACATCCTATCTTCATTTGAAAAAAAAGTGGTAGTTTAATCAGTCTATTATTAGAATTTTTATTTTGTAAAATTAAGACATTTGTGTACTTTACAAAATATATTATTAATAAAAACATATTATTAATATATACATATAAAATCATGTGTTTTATTTTAAATTAAATGTAGTAGCCAAAAAAAAAATTCAATTTGTTATAATGCAAAGTCTATAATTTTTATTTACTTATATATATATAAAATTAGTTTTTTTTGTCAGAACAAAATGTTGATTACAACTCCGCGTGGTAGGGAATTATCGATAATCAAATAACTTTGATACCATTTTTTAACTTTTGAGCTAACGAGATTTTATCTTCAATATTTTATAACCGTTGTTGAACAGTCGATGCAATTTTTAGGTTTTACGACTACTAATGTTCAACTGCGTAGCCTTGTAATTTTGAACCCAATCCAGAAGACAAGGGAATTCCTGGATCAGTACCCACGAAGGTATTGATTTCTCATAGGAACTTGGAGGATTTCGTGACATATTTAATACACAAGGACTCTTCCGCCGGCTGGATTCGAACTCCAGTTCTCTCGAACAGGAGTCCAACTCCCATCTAATCAGGCTATCCCGGGCCCGAGATAATGAAAGTGTTATATCAAAGGATTAAGATAATTAGTAGCATTAGTTTGTGTGATTTGAATATAATACTCATGGCTGCAGACCAGCAGCAATCGCACTATTATCTTTCAATGACTCATAGGTCAACGCGACATCAATCAAGTCCAACTTGCACAATGCCAGGAATTATGTAGTTGGCTTCTTGAATGTGTGATATATATCTTCACCTTGATTCAAACTAATTGGATTGTATTACAATGCATGCATCAATACAGATACTATGTTTACAATACAATTGTTTGTTGATACTATGTTTACAATGTGTCTATATTTTGAGCATATATCTCATTTATTTGACAATTTGATTTCTAACTCACAGGATTTAAAAAACATTGAAATAATTATTTTTTATGTATGCATTTAAACTGACGAGTTCATAAAATTAGATCTGTTACAGTAGCAAAACTCCGTACTAATGAGCTAATATTACGCACTACAATTTGAAAATTATGCACTAACAATTTAAATTGAAATTTTTTCTAACTGAACTGATTACTATCTTAGTTTTAAATCTGCTTAAATGGTAAGATAAACAAAACTACACAGTAAAGAATTCCGGATCAATTTACGGTAAAAAGTAATGCATCCTGAGTGCATCATCCGCAAAATAAATTTTTATCGTAAAATTTTAACAGTAATATTTATTTAATTGTAGGGTATCAATGGTTTTATAGTAAATTTTTTTGCTCCATGAAATTTTACAGTAAAAAAACCATAGATCCTATGGTGAAAAATACGGACACATTGCGTGCCGGTATTTTTTACAGTCATTTGCATTTAATTCAGTACATTTTCTACCACCGTCAACTTGTTAACTTGCTGTGGTTGCAATAGTTAAGAGAAAGATAAGATTTAAAAAGCTTGGGCACACTGTAAGAACTTAGAACAGTTAATATAAAATAAAAACAAGTAAGTTTTTGCAAAATTTTGTTTTCACTTCGTTTTTTTAACAATATAACTCATTCATTATTACCATAAATATAAAGGATTAAGAAGTTACGTATTCAATATTATTTTAATTATTTGGCGAAAAAAAGTTTAAAATCGAAGCTTTTGCTATTACAAGTTTCTTTCAGATTTTCTAAAATATAGCTAACCAAGTTTTTTTAAGTTCAGTTGAATTATATTTTTTGAAAAATGAATGTAAAAGTTATCTGTAATGTTGCAATATGATTTGTATAATAAACTGTATTCATAATTTATTTAGGGGATATATTTTTATTTAGTATAAAAAATAGGCTTTACATGAATTTTTCGCCAACAAATTAGAAGGAAGGTTGAAAGAAGAAGGATAGGTTAGATGTGTGTGAATTTCTATTTTAATTTTTCTTTTTTTCTATGTGCCAATTGAATATCTAAAGGGAAATTTTTTTCTCGTTAAAATAATTTTCCCCAACAATTGCAGAAAAAAAAACTACTTTAAATTGTTTTATTTTAAGAAGATTAAATTAGTAGCTCTAATTAAACTAAATTAAATTAGTAGCTCCAGTTTAGTACTCACTAATTTAGTATTCACTAATTAACTGTTTTCGTAAAACAACAACAATCACCCTAAAAATATGCACCTTCTGTAGACAGACATGAAGTAAAGTACGCTTTTAGTATCTAAGATAAAAGTTCTTCTAAGCAACGTATCTTGAAAAACACTTTGTGTAAAGTAAAATTTTTTTTAAAAATTTAACTTAATTGCTAAAGCTGTTAAAAGCTGTTTTCTATACTTTGCTTTATTTCTTTAGTTTTGATTCATTGAGTTTTTCAATCCTTTCAATGCCATATTACTCTGAAATTGATCACATTACATTTCGAATCTATAAAAACACAACACAACTTTGAAGTTCAATGTTTTAATTTTAGATTTTATAAAATTAAACTGAACTGTTGTAGTACGCATTTTTTAAGCTTGCTCAAATTTTGTGAAAGATAAAAGTGAAATATACATACGTTAGCGAATTCAATCTCAAACTCCAACATGGAATCAATATCTTTTTTTACTCTTCCCTCTTGGGCTTTTAGCAGTCGTACTGTCTCTGCAATCAGGTTTTTGTAGGATGAAACGTATCTTACGTAGTCTGGATCTGTTTGATTTAGGTAGTACTGAGTATTAAGGATAGGTGAACCTGAATAAACCTGTAATATCAAAAGAAAAGGGATTATTTGAAGAACAATAATCTAAAGGACAAGAATTTCGAATGATTAATATGCAAGTGTTAGAAATTTTTTGAAAGCAGAATTTGGTATATTTAATAATTAAAAGAACCTAATAAAACAGATTCAGGAAAAGTTTATATTATTATTAACAAAAGTATAAATTAAAAACTCATGGTTTACAAAAATTTCCTTTCTTAAATAATAATTTTTTTCCGTTTAAGTTACTAAATAGAAGGTAAAAATAATAACTATGATGAGTATCTCTGAATAAATACTCATCATAGGAAAGAGAAATTTAGCTGTTCTATTTCATTGCAGTGAGTGTTAATTATGGTTTTTTAAACAAAAATGTCTGAAGATAGTCGAATAAAAGAAATATAAAGTAGGAACGAAATCTTTTTAAGAAAATTTATTATTTCAATTTAAATGAGTTTTTATATTAAAGTTTATAATATAAATAATTCTAATTACAACCTAAATTATCCTTTTCAACTATCTTTTCTAAGTATTCATTGCTTAAGACGTTAAGGTGATGCAAAGAGCAATTACGTTGGTACTTAATTCTGATGCATTAAGTTTAATATCTTGAAATGAGTAGATAAATATATGTTTGCTAATAATTTTAATATATTACTCGTTAAAAAGATAACAGTAAAAGAAAATATGTTGTAAACAGAATACCACGATATGTTTCTGAAATGAAATAGTGTAATGAATAATTTTGACACATGAAGAAAAGTTGCTATTTTTTTAAGTGAAAATGTTTGAAATTGCCTAAAATAGTTTGATCTTTCTATATACCGTTGAAGTCACGATGAAAATTAGTAATATTTTAACAATAAATTAATCATAACAATAAATTAATATTAGGAGGGAAAACAAATGCAATTTAAATTGTAGAATTTTCTATCTGAATTGTCCAATTTAAATTACTCCACTATTTAACACATTTAATCGGTTTTTTACCAAGTAAGAAGAAAGAAAACTGACATTATATGAGCAATTCTACAAATAAACGCCAATAAGGCGGCCAAAAAAAGATAAATTATTTTTTTTTTGGGGGGGGGGGCACGCTATTTCTACATGAGTTTTCTTCTTTTTTTCACCCTAAAAAAGAAGAAAAAATCGTGAACATGAAATTTTTTCTTTGTGACATACTTTAAATGACAAAATACCAATTTCAAATTTTTCCCGATTTTTTCAATTTACGAAGTTCGATTAAATTTTTTTATTTTTGTTTTTCATACTAAAATATAATCTTATAGTATGATATCTCCATAAATTTATAATATTTTAGAGAGACATTATAATAATATTATATTTACGTAAAAATCGTTTTATCTGAATAAATGGCTCAGATAAAAGCTTCAATTTGAAAACGAAATTTTTATTATATTATAAATAATATTATTATAATGTCTCTATAACATGTGTTTATATAGATTTAATACTACAAAATTATTTTTTAGTATAAAAAGCAAAAATAAAAAAATGTAATCAAAGTTTGTAAATTGAAAAAATCGGGAAAAATTTAAAATCGGTATTTTGTCATTTAAAATATGTCACAAAGAAAAAATTTCATGTTCACAATTTTGTCTTGCTTTTTTAGGGTGTAAAAAAGAAGAAAATTCATGTAGAAATAGCGTGCCCCCCCCCCAATTTTTTTTTTTAAAATTTTCTTTGATCGCCTAATTGGCGTTTATTTATAAAATTGCTCATATATATTTCCAAAGCTCGGAAAGTGAAATAGAAAAACTTAATATTGAGGGAGAAAACGAATGAAATTTATATTATACAGTTTTCTTATTGAATAATTTTAAAAAGTGAAATTACAGCATTATTGAATATTTTGTAACGTTTTACCGTTCTAATTATAGTTCGAAATAAGGAAAATTAATAAAAAATTTATTTAAAGCCCGCCAAAAAAAAGCATAATATTCAGGGAAAATAAATAAAGTTTTAATTTTCTTACTGAATTGACCATATTGAAATTACTTCTTCATTTAACATTTTGCTGTTTCTTTAACCATTGAAAAAATGAAGAAAATTAATATATTTATTTAAAGCACGACAAATGAAACAATAAAGCTTAATATTGATTACGAAAATAATAGAATTTTAATTGTACGATTTCCTTACTGAATTGTCCGGTTGAAATTACTTAACATTGTGCCTAAATAATAAGGTAAATTAGCATATTTAGTTGGATGCCTTTCTATCTTCGATGTTGACCTTACAATGTTTAATGCAAATACTGAAGTCATTAAAATTCGATTTAATTCAATCAATATCGACAATGCTCTAAATAGAATATTTCCCAAATTTACTGGATTTAATTTAATATAATATCTTTTTTAAGAAATTTTCCTTTTACCTTAACCCAGTTAGGTTGGGATTAAAAACCCTCGGAGTTCTTAATACATAATTGAAAAACAAATTCACATTTCATTGCATGGGTAATAAAAATAAAAATTGTTTTAACATTTGATTTTTTTTAGTAACCAATCGCCATATTAACCGTAAATGACTTTAATAGTATCCAAGATGATAACAATTTCCTTACCTTTCTACCTAAAAACAATCTAAAACTGAAAGCTTCTACTTGCTATTGTTATTAATTTTCAAAATAAAGCAAAGGGTGTGAAAATGTAAAATGCAACATAAAAAAGAGTGATTTCTCACTTGAATGATTACAAAAATGATTGAATTGAGTGATATTTAAAGGAATAAATGAAACGTATCACGTTTTCCAGCAAAAAGCAAATTGCCCCACATTTATGTTACTTATTTTTTATAGGAAAGTTTAACGCATTTGAAGTAAAAAATCTCTTATCATATGATCAATTTTTTTCCCGATTGGGTTCGGGATACATATGTATGCATCATAAAATGTCCTTTAATGCCTATNAAAAGCCCCAGCTTATGTATTCTGGTACAGTCACAGTTCAGAAGAGTAGTGGAAATACTGCAGTCAGTAGGCTAAAGATCAGGGACGCACAACCGGAACCGACGAATTCAGGAAACTACACTTGCTCTCCTTCGAATGTGGGTGCAGTCAGTTCCATTGTATATGTGGTCAAAGGTGAGAAACCTTACCCTTAATACTCTAACTGTAGTCCATGCCTAAAAACGGAATCTATAGCAAACATTGAAAGAAAATTGCGATGTCCCCTCGTATATTCAGAAATGTGGTTTTTCTGTGTTTGTTTTTTAGATTGTAGTGTAAGATTAAGTTTCTGGGGTCTCTGTCAGAAAATCTTGACACATTCACAGGTGTTCGAATAGGAGATTCTCCCTCCTGTCTACTTTTTAATATTGCACTTGAGAGAGTTATTCGTGATTCAGGCATCAATACCAGTGGTCACATTTTTACTAGATCAGTACAACTACTTGCATATGCTGATGATGTTGATATAATTGTTCGTTCCCTGCCTGCCCTGAAAGAGGCATTTCTTGCCATTATCCCCTGCAAGGCAAATGGGCATGGTCATAAATGTAGAGAAAACAAAATATATGTTATTCTCAAGAAACTGAGTCCCAGACCCCTATCTTGAAATAAGTTCTTGTAGATTTGAAGCAGTGAGGAGTTTTACTTACTTAGAATCAATTATTACCATTGACAACAGAATTACTCCTGAAATAAAAAACCGACTCTATCTGGCGAATAGGGCTATCTATGGGCTGAGAAGACATATTAAATCTAGGTTTCTTTCTAGAAAAACAAAGTTCTTAATCTACAAAACTCTGGTCTGGCCAGTCTTGACATACGCTTCTGAAGCTTGGACAATGGCAAAACTGGTGGAAAATTTTATCGCAATATTTGAGAGAAGGATTTTGCGGGGTATACTTGGTGGTGTAAATGAAAACAATAGCTGGCAAAGGAGATTTAACTTTGAGCTGTACAAGATTTGTAAGCAACCTGATATTATTAAATACATAAAAATAAATAGAATGAATTGGATCGTCCACGTGATTCGAATGAGTGACGACAACACAATAAAAACGATATTGCTTTTTAGACCCACTGGAAAAAGAAAGCGGGGAAGGCCGGGGTTGAGATGGGCTGACTCAGTGGAGTCTGATTTTCTCGCAATTAATGAAAAGAATTGGAGATCAAAGATAAATCGGAAGTCATCATGGAGATATCTTCAGAGGAAGGCATTGTCTCACATTAGGCTGTCACATTAGGCTGCCAACTATGATGATGATCATCATCAGATAAATCAGATAAATATTTATTTGCTTTGATGAGTTGTTTGCTACCCCTGGAAGCTCTGACTCAGTACACCTTATTCTCATTTGAAAAAAAGTGGTAGTTTAATCATTCTATTATTAGCATTTATTTCACAAAATTAAGACATTCGTGTATTTCATAAAATATATTATTAATAAAAATATATTATTAATGTATACATATAAAATCATGCTCTTTATTTTAAATTAAATACAGTAGCTAAAAAAGAAATCAGTTTGTAATAACGCAAAGTTCTACAATTTTTATTTATTTATTTATACATAAAATTAGTTTTTTTTTTGTCAGAACAAAATGTTGATTACAAGCCCGCTCGGTAAGGAATTATTGATAATAAAATAATTTTGATACCATTTTTTAACTTTTGAGATAACGAGATTATTAAATCAAAGGATTGAGATAATTAGTAGCATTAGTTCGTGTGATTTGAATATAATACTCATGGCAGCCGACCGGCAACAATCGCACTATTATCTTTCAGTGACTTGTAGGTCAACGCGACGTCAATCAGGTCCAACTTGCACAATGCTAGGAATTATGTAGTTGGCTTCTTGAATGTGTAATATATATCTTCGCCTTGATTCAAACTAATCGGATTGTATTACAATGCATACATCAATAGAGATACTATGTTTACAATACAATTGTTTGTTGATATTATGTTTACAATGTGTCTATATTTTGGGCATATATCTCATTTATTTGATAATTTGATTTCTAACTCACAGGATTTAAAAAATATTGAAATAATTCTTTTTTATGCATGCATTTAAACTGAAGAGTTTATAAAATTAGATCTGTTACAGTTGCAAAATATCATGTCACTCCGTACTAATGAGCTAATACTACACACTAACAATTTGAAAATTATGCACTAACAATTTAAATTGAAATTTTTTCTAACTAAACTGATTACTATCTTAGTTTTAAATCTGCTTAAATGGTAAGACAAACAAAAACTACACAGTAAATAATTCCGGATCAATTTACGGTAAAAAGTACTGGCATCCTGGGTGCATCATCCGTAAAATGAATTTTTATCGTAAAATTTTAACAGTAATATTTATTTAATTATAAGGAATCAATGGTTTTATAGTAAATACTTCTGTAAAAAGTACAGTATATAAATTTTTTTGTTCCATGAAATTTTATAGTAAAAAGGGATCTATGGGGAAAAATACGGGCACATTGCGTGCCGGTACTTTTTACCGTAATTTGCATTTAATTCAGTACATTTTCTACTGCCGTCAACTAGTCAACTTTCTGTGGTTGCAATAGTTAAGAGAAAGATAAGATTTAAAAAGATTGGGCACCCTGTAAGCACTTAGAACAGTTAATAAAAACAAATAAGTGGTTTCAAAATTTTGTTTTCACTTCGTTTTTTTAACAATATAACTCATTCATTATTACCGTAAATATAAATGATAAAGAAATTATGTAGGGTAAACTAACCTGTGAAGGAACATTTAAGCTTCGCTTGCCTTTTAAAAAATCATATTAATTTCAAAATTCGTAATTTTAGTTAAATGACAGTGTCAACATATTTGTTACTAATTGCAAATTATGTAAAAAAATTGTAGAGAACTTACATAATACTGTTTTAAAGTTTTGGAGGTTCAAATAACAAGTAGTAAGAAGACCAAGTGAAGGAACAGCTCTTACCAGTGAATGAACACCCAGTAAAGGAACACTTAATTTTGGTTATTTTTTAATGCTCTTTATGAATTTATAAGCCACACAAATATTTAAAAACAAGCCTATTCTTTGATGCGGAACATCACTGAAGGTACTAGAAAATTAAAGTTTATCTTTTATTTTCATTAACTTAGAAAATAAAAACAGTAAAGGAACACTTGTTCCTTCACTGGTTTTTCATCGTTTGGTGATCGAGTGAATAAACACCCCCATATCTCAGTACTTTATTATGCAATGATGCTTAAAAAAATAAAACCTAACTTCAATAACTATATTTTGAATTCTCTTTTTCACAGTGAGAAAAATAAAACAATTACATGCAATTAACTCCACTTCAAAAATATAAATACAAACACTCACCTTATATATATCACTTTTCAAAGAAACAAGGTGTTGCAGAGATAATAACAAATTCAAAAATTTTTCCAGAGAAGTCTATTTGACCAGGTAATCCAAAACAGTGCTAGATGACTTCCTACTGTTTGGCAGTAAGCTATTGTTTGTTACCAATCAATCTAAAGAAAAACTTTCAAATTCTTATTTTTAATCAATATATATGAAATGTTCCTTCACTGGNAAAGTTATCTGTAATGTTGCAATATGATTTGTATAATAAACTGTATTCATAATTTATTTAGGGGATATATTTTTATTTAGTATAAAAAATAGGCTTTACATGAATTTTTCGCCAACAAATTAGAAGGAAGGTTGAAAGAAGAAGGATAGGTTAGATGTGTGTGAATTTCTATTTTAATTTTTCTTTTTTTCTATGTGCCAATTGAATATCTAAAGGGAAATTTTTTTCTCGTTAAAATAATTTTCCCCAACAATTGCAGAAAAAAAAACTACTTTAAATTGTTTTATTTTAAGAAGATTAAATTAGTAGCTCTAATTAAACTAAATTAAATTAGTAGCTCCAGTTTAGTACTCACTAATTTAGTATTCACTAATTAACTGTTTTCGTAAAACAACAACAATCACCCTAAAAATATGCACCTTCTGTAGACAGACATGAAGTAAAGTACGCTTTTAGTATCTAAGATAAAAGTTCTTCTAAGCAACGTATCTTGAAAAACACTTTGTGTAAAGTAAAATTTTTTTTAAAAATTTAACTTAATTGCTAAAGCTGTTAAAAGCTGTTTTCTATACTTTGCTTTATTTCTTTAGTTTTGATTCATTGAGTTTTTCAATCCTTTCAATGCCATATTACTCTGAAATTGATCACATTACATTTCGAATCTATAAAAACACAACACAACTTTGAAGTTCAATGTTTTAATTTTAGATTTTATAAAATTAAACTGAACTGTTGTAGTACGCATTTTTTAAGCTTGCTCAAATTTTGTGAAAGATAAAAGTGAAATATACATACGTTAGCGAATTCAATCTCAAACTCCAACATGGAATCAATATCTTTTTTTACTCTTCCCTCTTGGGCTTTTAGCAGTCGTACTGTCTCTGCAATCAGGTTTTTGTAGGATGACACGTATCTTACGTAGTCTGGATCTGTTTGATTTAGATAGTATTGAGTATTAAGGATAGGTGAACCTGAATAAACCTGTAATATCATAAGAAAAGAGATTATTTGAAGAACAATAATCTAAAGGACAAGCATTTTGAATGATTAATACGCAAGTGTTATAAATTTTTTTAAAAAACAGAATTTGGAATATTTAATAATTAAAAAAAACTCAATAAAATAGGTTTAGAAAGAGTTTATATTATTATTAACAAAAGTATAAATTAAAAACTTATGGTTTACAAAAAATTTCCTTCTTTAAATAATAATTTTTCTTGACTAAAATTACTAAATAGAAGGTAAAAATAATAACTATGATGAGTATTTATGAATAAATACTCATCATAGGAAAGAAAAATTTAGCTCTTCTATTTTATTGCAGTGTGTGTTAATTATGGGTTTTTAAGCAAAAATGTCTCAAGATAGTCGAATAAAAAAATATAAAATAGGAACGAAATCTTTTTAAGAAAATTTATTATTTAAATGAGTTTTTATATGAAAGTATATAATTTAAATAAATCTAATTACAACCTAAATTATCCTTTTCAACTATCTTTTCTAAGTATTAATTGCTTAAGACGTTAAGGTGATGCAAAGAGCAATTAGGTTGGTACTTAATTCTGATGCATTAAGTTTAATATCTTGAAATAAGTAGATAAATATACGTTTGCAAATAATTTCAATATATTACTTGCTAAAAAGATAACAATAAAAGAAAATATGCTGTAAACAAAATACCTCGATATGTTTCTGAAATGAAATAGTGTAATTTATAATTTTGACGGATGAAGCAAAATTACTATTTTTTTAAGTGAAAATTTATGAAATTGTCTAAAATAGTTTGACCTTTCTATAAACCGTTGAAGTCACGATGAAAATTGGACAAGTGAAAAAAACAATAAATTAATATTAAGGGGGAAAACAAATGCTATTTAAATTGTAGAATTTTCTAACTGAATTGTCAAATTTAAATTACTCCCCTATTTAACACATTTAATCGGTTTTTTATCAAGTAAGAAGAAAGAAAACTGACATTATATATATTTCTAAAGTTCGGAAAGTGAAGTAGAAAAGCTTAATATTGAGGGAGAAAACGAATGTCATTTATATTATACAGTTTTCTTATTGAATAATTTTAAAAAGTGACATTACTGCATTATTTAATATTTTGCAACATTTGGCAGTTCTAATTAAAGTTCGAAATAAGGAAAATTAATAAAAAATTTATTTAATGCTTGATAAAGAAAACGTAATATTCAAGGAAAATAAATAACGTTTTAATTTCCTTTCTGAATTGACTCTATTGAAATTAATGAATTGAAATTATTTCTTCATTTAACATTTTGATGTGTTTTTAACCATTGAAAAAAAATGAAGAAAAATAATATATTTATTTAAAGCACGACAAGTGAAACAATAAAGCTTAATATTGAGGAAGAAAATAATAAAATTTTAATTGAACGATTTCCTTATTGAATTGTCCGGTTGAAATTACTTAACATTGTGCCTAAATAATAAGCTAAATTAGCATATTTAGTTGGATGCCTTTCTATTCTCGATGTTGACCTTACAATGTTTAATGCAAATACTGAAGTCATTAAAATTCGATTTAATTCAATCAATATCGACATTGTTCTAAATAGAATATTTCCCAAATTTACTGGATTTAATTAAATTTAATATCTTTCTGAGAGATTTTCCTTTTACCTTAACCCAGTTAGGTTGGGATAAGAAATCCTCGGAGTTCTTAATACATCATTGAAAAACAAATTCATATTTCCTTGTATAAGTAATAAAAATAAAAACACTTGATTTTTCAGTAACTAATTGTCATATTAACCGTAAATAACTTTAATAGTATCCAAGATGATAACAATTTCCTTACCTTTCTACCTAAAAACAATCTAAAATTGAAAGCTTCTACTTGCTATTGTTATTAATTTTCAAAATAAAGCAAAGGGAGTGAAAATTTAAAATGTAATATTAAAAAAAGAGTTATTTCTCACTTGAATGATTACAAAAGTGATTGAATTGAGTGATATTTAAAGGAATAAATGGAATAAATGTAACGTATCACGTTTTACAGCAAAAAGCAAATTGCACCACATTTTGAATGTAATGACGATAAAATATTTTATTTATTTTTTATAGGAAAGTTTATCATATTTGAAGTAAAAAATCTCTTATCACATTTGAAGTAAAAAATCTCTCATCACATAATCAATTTTTTTTCCGATTTGGTTCGGGATATATATGCATGCATCATAAAATGTTCTTTAATGCCAATCGATTATAAGAAAATAGGGCTATTTCAAATAAATATGCATATTATGATTTTAGATAACTTCTAATTTCGCATTTTACTTTGAAGTTTTTAACAGCAAGAACATTAAGTACTGGCACTGAATTTGCTGGCCATAAAAATATGAAAAAGGCACGCAAATTTGGGCTGTGCCGCTATTCTTTACGAATTATGAATGGATATTGGTTTAAAAAAAAATTTTTTTAGACATAATCGAACGTTATTCAAAAAGCTGAATGTGAACATCTCGATTCTGACGTCATTAAGACTTCAAGAAATTTTCTGTATTTTATTATTGAGTATATTTTCTGAGAATTATTACAGAAAATAATCTTTTAATACTTCAGAAAATAATCTTTAATTGGATTGTTTTTTCCTTTGTGAAAGAACAATTTCTATGCCTTAAAATTAATAATAAAATCTATTTTAAGCTATGATTTAATGTCGAAATTCTTGTATGAGACATTCTACATTATATATACAGGGTGGTCCTAAAATATAAGTCAAAAATGTAAAGGTAGGTAGAAGGAACATAAATAAGCATATTTCGGATAGGAATGTGTGTACGGTAATGGCACATTAAAGCACTAACTTGTAAAACAGTATGAATCAAAGGAAACTGAAAAGACAAGTAAAGACAAAAGAAAATTCGATTCCCTACCGGCTCAAGCCGGCATTACCGCACACACAATCCTATACGAAATATGCTTATTTAGGTCCCCTCTACAAACATTTACATTTTTGACATATATTTTAGGACCACCCTGTATATATTACACATATTACACGTATATTACCCATATTATTACATTAAACATACTACTATATTAGATATATGTTATTGTCAACGTATGAAAAACTGTCTTTCTATAGAAAGTCCAGTCCTTTTATACAATGACAAAGCAAAGTAAATAATAATTCTCATATTTCATACTTCGCATAAAATCCCAGGCATTTTATAGAATGTCTAATTGCTGCGTAAAATACCTGGCATTGAGAATGTCTGAAGGTGTTTTATTAGTCATTCTATAGAATGTCTAGACAATGTATGAGATATTAATCATTTCATACCTAAGCGATTGATTTTAGGCATTCCAAACAATGCTTAAATTTTCTATAGAATGCCTAATTTCATACATTTTCGGTGACATATTCATTGAATCTCTTGCGATATTTATGATCCAATAAAATCTTTAGATGTTAAGTTAGTCATTTTAAGTTAATGCGTTAAAAACATGTATAACAAATGTAAAATGCCCTCAACATATATTCTATGATTTTTTTCTATGAAATCTCTACAAAAATCCTGACTATTCAATGATTACAGGAAATTACTTACATGCAACAAGTAAACGGACGAGTTCTTATCGTCCGGTGCAACGAATGTATGGAAGAAGGGCTGGACCTGATGGACATGCAGCATGGCTAGCCTCCATTCTAAATATATATCTGCTTGGTCCCAAGTGTCATTTAATATGGGCCAGTCTCCAATTCCATAATCTGTGAGTAATTCCCTCAAGACTTTGACAGATCCATCCTCTATGCTACCTTAGATAAAAGTTAAGCAAATTAAAAGCAGTATTAAAAACTATCAGAGTGACCGACTTTTTTGAATTTGTTTTGGAATTGCAAAATCAGCTATTATTAGAATGAAAGCTATTATTGAAAAATAGTCAACCCCTGAAAAAGACTTAGAGGTTATAAAATAAGTGTAAAGTAGTAATCTAGTTAACACTAGATTGACCAAGGAAGTCATTTTAAATGCTTTTAATTTCAATTAGAAAAACAATGATGTATATAATGACACAATTTCTTAGAATTTTGTGACTTTTATAATTATTTTTATTGTTGATATTCACTAATAACTTGTTATGTAACTGTAAATAATGTAAGAAATATAAAAAATTAATTTTAATCAAATTTATTTGCACATTAGTTATTCTTTCACAATCTAGTCATTTTGACTGCTTTTGGGCAATATAGGTTAAGTTTAAAAAAAAAAGGGTGGGGGGATAAAAAATTTGTATATTTAAATAAAATATCTTTGTGATGAAGGTTATTTCAAAATGTTTCACTACAAAATTTATTCTTTATTTAAACTAAAAAGTTAATTTGAAATGAAGAATTTTTAGAGAAATGATAATTAGAAAGAAAAAAAACTTTTGTATTTATAATTTCAAATGGATCAATGAATTCAGTAATCAAACATGCAATTAAACAAGATGAAATGATATTTTATTATTCAGAGACATCAAATGTCCATAATAATTTTAGTCTCATGAATGGCAAATGATCATAAACATACTTAAATAAAACTGATCCAAAATATTAATTAATAACAGTAATAACGAAAATGTCCTCATAGTAAACAAAATAATATATGGAGCACGTAACTGATAATATTGTTATTAATACATAACCACTCTCATGACGAAAATTCGTCATTAGTATATTGCAGTAAATAATTAAATATAGAAATAATTAGATATTTTGTTAATGACATTTGGTCATGACATCTGGTCAATAACATTTCTGCACTAGGTCAAAATATGTCTTAAATGTTGCTTTTAATGTGGATATGTTTTGAAATTGTTTTTTTTTTCAATTATAATGTAGATGCAAAGGGCTTATAATGACAAGAATTTTTCTTTTTGATGAGAGAAATCAAACAATAGCAAGAGAAAGAAAATAATTGTATAGCTGAATTTCGTTTTTGAATTACTAATTCAAAACATTTTAAATACTTTCTTTCTTCTTTTATAGTTACTCACAATGACTAATGAAATTAAAATAAGCGAACTGACTCAATGTCCAGGCAATGTCCAACCTTGTACAGAATATATCAATCAATTGTCGTAATTTTGTAATCGTGAATGGCAACTAGTTGTCTGCACTATTCCTATTGGACGATACGTATTCCCATCTCAATAGAAACGTGGCTAGAATTGGTTGTTATCTAACTTATTGATCATTGATGGATTTCCAGTGGACAGGTAAGTGGAATGACGTCGACTTAGAAATCTCTATAATCCCTCCTCAATGAGTATTTAAAACCTTTTGGCTCGTATTCAGAAATCTTCCTAACTCAGGTTAGAATAAGCACTTGCTTAGACTAATTTTAAATCCGTATAGAATAAAATGATGGTTAGACTAATTTTAATTCCGCATAGAATAAGCACATGCTTAGACTATTTTTGATCCACATGGAATAAGCACATGCTCAGACTAATCTCAAATCAGTATAAAATAAGCTCATGCTCAGACAATCCTAACTCCTTATAGAATAAACACATGCTTAGACTTATCTTAAATCCGTATAGAATAAGCACATACTCTGATTAATCTTAAATCAGTATAGAATAAGCACATGCTTAGACTAATCTTAAATCTGTATTCAGGAACCGTGTTGAAATTAAAATGGATCCATCATGATTAAAAAGGGGCAACCTCGAACTCCAAACTTGTTAGTAAGGTTGGAAACCTGAGTACGGATTATTCAGGATTCTCGTCAAGCTCGTAAATATATA